TACCTACTAATATATAATATTTGTAAGTAATTTCGGCTGACTGACAGGCTTTGGCCAGAACTGTCCAAGTTTTGACTGTTACTCACTATTGAAGTGTGGCATTAACTTGTTATGTATGTCTAGTGCTAACATAGCAAGGATGTTTTGTCGTTAAATACACGTTTAATAAAGGTATATGTATTTCAAAAAAAAAAAAAAGGATATGACATGTAAACGAAAAACAGCTTGGCTGTTAAAAAAAACGCGGCCATGAAAAAAGTTATTTGTTATACAAACAGTGACTAAAAGAATTGATATCAGAATGTGGCCAAACCAATCAATATTACTGAAGACATACATTAACATTTCTCGTTCAAAAAGTAAAATCTCTACTTGGTTTAGAATTATTTTGGTATCATGTTTGTCAGTTTTATTAACGATAGGACAAGTGTGAGTTACTTGTAATTTGGTCACTTTTGTGTATGATTATGTGTATGTTAGTATTGCTAATAAATAAGAGGGAGAAAAGTCTCACAGTCTAATTTACTCTAATCCGGCCTAAAAGAATTTCAAATGCCGCGGCTACTGAGGATTTCCTCTTGTTTGCTAGTTGAGGCCTCTTTTCTCGGTTGATTAAAATGATTATAGCAGTTATGTTTTCATTCATAGATGGATGCCATTAATAAGTAATTTCATACCACTAAGTTAATAAATATGTCAAAAACATGATTTTACAATTTTTGAAACATCGAAATTAAAATTATAATAAACATTTAATCAATACAAATGAACTACACTATAGATATTCGAGACTGTAAACCATCAAGTTATTAGAAGTTAACACTATGAAACCAATCCTTAAAACCATTGCCGAGATATAGCCTAGCCGATTCTGGCCATATTGTTCGTTTTCTTCATTATCTCACACCCAATTTGTTTTTATGGCGCGCGTGTTTAATTTTCAAACCTCAGCCATCATTTCAACCTTTTTCAGATTGCTTTGAAATTAGTATCACTACTTCCTCCGTGTTCACTCTACTAGTAGTAGTGTTTGTGACCTACAGGGCTGGTTTTACTTAAAACAAAATCTAGACTTTATATTTCCGTTAAATTATACAGGGATAAACAAAAATTTGTGCAAAATTTCGTAAAATTCTGACAAGTAGTTTTCTTGTAAAGTACTTGTAAAATTTAAAATCGCCTGAGCCATTGAGTGGAATTTAGATCGGCTTCTGTGTAAACACGCGAGACTCGCGAATTTTAATTGTGTGTTGAGAGCTATTACTTCTTTGTCCAAGCTAATGGATTTGTTTGTAAGTTTAATTCATAAGTTTATATACACATATGCCTATATACTCATGCACACTATAGCTCGTGCTAGCTATATAACCATAAGACTTACTTGTATTCCATTATTATTTACTATTCACTATGTGAAGGGAATAAATGGTGCAAAGTAATTTATTTCAAATTAGCGGTGGTTAGGGGGCGCTCGACTCGCAAGCTGAGAGTCGCAGGTTCGAATCCCGGTCCCACCAAACATGCTCGCCCTTTCAACCGTGGGAGCGTTATAATGTGACGGTCAATCCCATTATTCGTTGGTAAAATAGTAGCCCAAGAGTTGGCGATGGGTGGTGATGACTAGCTGCCTTCACTCTAGTCTTACACTGCTAAATTAGGGAAGGCTAGCGCAGATGGCCCTCATGTAGCTTTTCGCGAATTTCAAAACAAACAATATCAAACTAGCGCTAAGCTATACTAATCATATACTTATCCTCATCTCATAGGCCTACCAGTACACTTCTAATTTCTATTAAACGTTTTTCATTTTGTACTGAAACAATAACGGCTACCAGTGTACACTAACTAAAATGTCTCAGTGTTGTAAAGGAAATTACAGCCTATCGGTATTCCAATAAATGCAAGTTCTGTAGCTGAAGAATGCAAAACCGGTACAACCTGTGTGTCAATATCTGCTTGGGACTTGGTAAAACCTGTACACACGTACAAGTGTCCGGACGGGCCATTTATTCAACTGTGATTGCCTTAAAAAACCACACCAAATGTTTTCTCGTACTTCTGTCCGCATACACAACATAAACTTAATATGAAATGTTATTTCATATTTTCATAATCCATAAACACTTAGCTTTACCAACACAAAAGTGCTCGGACGAGCCATTTAATCAACTCCGATCGCCTTAAAAACCACGTTAAACACTTTTACGTACTTCTGTCCACATACATAACATAAAATTATTATGAAATCATATTTTCATAATTTATAAAAAAAAATGCCGGAGAATGATCCCACCAGTGATCGAAACCTCGTACCAGTTTTAAGAATATTCTTCCTTATTGTAAAAGCTATAATTTGTAACGAAGACTTACTGTAGTAAGTCGCGCGGCCAAGGTAAAAGTAAGCACTCGTGCCCTAAAACATACAGCCGCTAGTGAGAGTCTTTCAACACGGCGTGATTGTGTACAAAATCGGTCCCTCTGAAACACACCCATTGTAATTTTGGAATGGACATATAAAAGAGGCTTTCATGTATTTTGTCATCACTATGCATGAATTCAGAAGTTAATCATAAATGCTACAAGGGATCTATGGATCTTAAGTAATGCTATTAACATTAATGCTATTACTTAAGTAATGCTATTAACATTAATGCTATTACTTAAGTAATGCTATTTCTTTAATTCGTATGTTTATATCAGTACTTGCAAACCGCTAGTTAAATATGAAAAGTATAAAATAGTGAAATGAAAAGAAAGCTATTTCAAAATTACACTAACAATTTATCTATTTTTGAATGTACTGGTACACAGTAGCTTATCAAGAAATCAATATGGCAGATTTCACTAATTGCAGGCAGTTGGTCCTTGAAAATGTTAATACGTATTATTATTTTACAAACTTTTATTGCTATGCGTGATGTTCTTGAAAGCCAGTATAAGTGATTCAGCACCAGAATAACATGCTATGACTCTTTAAATGAAGGTTGTTAGATTATGTTCCTACCCTTATACATCAGTGTTTCTGAGGATATCACGAATAAGTTCATACATAGATGTTGTTCTTTATCAGACTTTCTACTTTAAATTCCTGTTTTACTTTTTATATGTATGTAAAATAACGAAAAAATCTGAAGTAAAATTTTAATGTTCTTTGCTAGCCCTTAGAGAAATTGTGTTTTACTTATAATATCTCATAATCACATAAAAGCTGAATACTATTAAGGGTTATGTTATGTTATCAGTTGTGTATTGTTTATAATACCTCATAATCACATAAAAGCTGAATACTATTAAGGGTTATGTTATGTTATCAGTTGTGTATTGTTTATAATACCTCATAATCACATACAAGCTGAATACTATTAAGGGTTATGTTATGTTATCAGTTGTGTATTGTTTATAATACCTCATAATCACATAACAGCTGAATACTATTAAGGGTTATGTTATGTTATCAGTTGTGTATTGTTTATAATACCTCATAATCACATACAAGCTGAATACTATTAAGGGTTATGTTATGTTATCAATTGCGTATTGTTTATAATACCTGATAATCACATAAAAGCTAAATTTTATTAAGGGTTATATTCTGTTATCAGTTGTGTATTGTTTATAATACCTCATTATCACATAAAAGCTGAATAATATTAAGGGTTATGTAATGTTATCAGTTGTGTATTGTTTATAATACCTCATAATCACATAAAAGCTGAATTTTATTACAGGTTGTGTGATGTTAGTTTTAAACGTACATGAACTAAAATTACAATATAAGGTTTAACACAACGAGACACAAAAAGTAATTTCATTTAAAGAATAGGTCACGAGAAAAATAGTTGTTTATACTGAGATTTAACGAAGAGGTGTGAGTTATAGCACCTTGGCAACACATGTATTTGCCTTGCAGCAAATTCTTGACCATTCGAGAGAACAATGCAACCATCGTTATCTTATGGCTGGAGAATAAATTATAAACATTTCCCAGGAAGGATATTCGTATAGAGATATTTAAATGTACACCGGTACCAATTATTTTTGAAGTAATGTAGATTCACATCCTTCTAAAGTACTCAAATGTGTAGACAGTTCGTACATTGTGCTACAATGGACGTATTAACAATATTCTTAACTTAAAACAATTATCATAAGTAAACTGGAATAAACAGGAACTGCCTATTGTAAAAAGACGACGTCCTCTACACTTGTGTTTTTTTACAATAGGCAGTTGCCGTTTATTTCAGTTTATTCATCATGAATACTATGTCCAAACAATCTATCAAAGAACGCTACAATTATGGTTTCCATCTGTCTTTCATCATTCTTTGAAATTTATTAGTTTAGTTTATTTACAAGCATACTTTTTTGTTGTTTCATCCGAATATGCTTCAAATTACTGTTGTTGTTTTTCTGATTATACATATCGTCATTTTGAAAGCATTCTGTAGAATATATATTCAACGTTTCACTAACTTCATAACTAACTCTTATAAGCGACTTTTCCATCTTTACCATTCAAACACGTTGAGCAACAGCATCGCAAGGCGAATTTTTATATTGCGAAAGATGAAAACTGTACAGTTGTTCTACTTTTAAAGCAATGCAGTTTGTGAGAAAACTGTATAAACATAAATATTTAAGTGAATTTGTTTGTTTGTTGTTAAGAGCAACTCTATATGTTCCACGCTGATTTTTCCAAGCCCGTTCCATTGGCTGTGGTTTCGCTAAATAGAATGGTTTCGCGGGTATCGAAAGCCGATTGTAAGCCATGATACTAAGCCACTGGGGAGAGGAGCTTTTCAGTAAATATGTTATATTTTCATTGATGTAATTTATGCATTTATTAATATTAATTGAAGTTGTTACATTTAACTAAGTATTGCTACTATTTCAAATGATATCAACTTTATTATAAGTTTTTTAATATAGATAATGTTTATAAAATCGTACTCCCGTTTGATATATGCTGCAGCTTATTGGCTTTGTTTTCTCTTAGATTGTCCACCTTGTTTTAAAATGGTACAACATGTGGTCAGTGACCTCCAGTCCAGTTTGGTTGAAATGATCAAATTGATCAATAACACCCAGGAAAACAGGCAGAACGTTGTCGATCTCAGTTTTGACAAAATACTTTCAGACATTAGTCACGATATTATCGACTTGCTAGATAAAGCACAAAATTTAACAGGTTTGTGGAAATCTTAGAATAAACTTTCAAATACATAATACACAAACCATATCACCTGTTTAACGTTCCATTGCTGTCTTGTTAGTTTTCACATAAATTACGAAAACTGGTTGCGGAAAATTACTTGAATTCGTATCTACTTTTTCAATACCTTTTGTAGACTACTGTTTTTAAACAATTACATTTATTGGTCATTTCATTAAATTATATATTTATTTAATGAGACTTCAATTAAATATAAACAAGGAAAACAGTATTAAAAGAATAATCAAAGTGTTTAAAGTAAATACTTATAATAAGTATTGATGTAATTAATTTTTCATTTAAAAATAACAATAATTACAAAGAATACATGTAGATATTATTAAAAACTAACATTTCAAAACAAATTATTATAAATTTACCTACAAAGTTACACTTACCCAAATAATTCAATGAATTAATACAAAAAAAAAATTCAGAATGAGCTGAATCATTGTTATCTTTTAAATTTTCACCAAGATTGAGTTATGTAGTTTATTTCATAAGTCTAACTTTTGTTTTCACCATTTTCATAGACTTTTAATTTATAAATATTAGTAATAGCCCAAATTTTTGTTACATTTACAGAATATGACTGAAGTTCGTTTAGTAGTTAAATTACTCCTAATGTTAAAAAGGGTATTTCTTTCATCACCTGTGTTTACAGATCAAAAGTTCATAATCTTGAAGCAACTGAGAGACCTAAAAGCCAAGCTTTTGAACAGCACGAAACTCTCTAGGCAGATCAAGCTCAAAGTGCAGAAAACTAAGAGTATCAGTGACTTGGGGAAAGAGAGAATCTCCACGCTGATGGAACATATCGAAAGTGTTTCAAAAATTGTGTTGAACATGAAAAGCTACTTAACCAATATCACCCTCGAGTTTCTGAAAAATTCAAGTAACGTAACAAAGAAATTTGAACAGCAGTCTGATCGTATGAAGGAAATAGCAAAGGAAGCTGGACGTCTTGCTGACTGGTAAGTATTTCCCTACTGGATATATAGTTTCAAGCAATAAATATCCCCGAATAACTTGTTATTTCCCTGGAAAGTTTTCATTCAACAAAAATGGAGAATAAAGCGTACCAGGCTGTACACTTGGTTTAGATTTGACTAAAATATTATGCACTACAACCTTGAACTCAGTTTTCACTGGTAATAGGTATAGCAGAATAAGTTATACAGCTCTGCATGTTCCACGATTTATATCACTTTTAAACCTGAGGAAATCATCTAAGTTTGTTTTGTTTGTTTTTTGAATTTCGCGCAAAGCTACACGAGGGCTAATCTGCGCTAGCCGTCCCTAATTTAGCAGTGTAAGACTAGAGGGAAGGCAGCTAGTCATCACCGCCCACCGCCAACTCTTGGGCTACTCTTTTACCAACGAATAGTGGGATTGACCGTCACATTATAACGTGACGTGGATTCGAACCCGCAGATTGCGAGTCGAGCTCCCTAACCACCTGGCCATGCCGGGCCTGAAATCATCTAAGAAACATAACACATATCACGGACAACGTTTAATTGACGAACATCTAAAGAAGAAAAAAATTTTTATTTACGGTATAAACTTGATGATATATATATATATGTTTAAAAATTGGTATGCAATTAGTTATATTCAATTATTACTGATGAAACAATAGTTTCAACAAAGCATTTTCGTCATATCTAAACAAAGTGCTCAGGTTTGATTATAGCTTCTTCCTCGACAGTCATTGTTAAAATGTTACTTTGCTGAAAAACATACGTATGAATTAAAGATATCAAAATTCTAATTCCATCACTTTTCTCGTGTATTGTGTTACCCTACACTTTGTTTCTGTCCATCTCGAGTACTGTTGGAAAATAAACAATGTTGTGGTGTGTACACCTTTTAAAAGACGTACACTTCGTAACAATTGTTGTTGTAACAAATGACTTATATAAACAATGTTCCGACCACTACTGTGTTTGTTGAATCCCAGCTGGCCTGAAAAGCTCTAAATTGAGTAAAACTCGTCGTTGGCAATAGCCATGACGAATGTAGTGTGGTTGGAATACTACTTCTAAACACTCTTCTAATTATTGAAAACCCCTAAGGGACTAGATTAAAAATGTAGTGTTTAGCGTTCTAAGTTAGTAAACTTACCGCTGTCTCGCCAGGGGATAATTGATAATGAAGTATTGCCGAGTGAACGTACATCTGGAGTGCAAAAAATGAGAAAAGAAAAAGCTCATAAACAATACTACCTGCTCATCAACTTTTTCGGACTCCCAAAATGGAGACACGCAATTAAAGTTCTTCAGATTCAAATTTAATGATGAAACTTGAAGCTACCATTGAAGAGCAGAGAAAGATGACAAATGAAAAAAAAAATCCTTTGAATAACTAACTAGCATTACGCCTTGTTTTTTACTCTTTAAATGTTTAATTTCCTATATTTCTATCTAGACTTAACTCATATGTCTCTAAAATAGATAATTTCACTATATCATACCTTAAGTCGTCTGCGCTCCCAATCTTTTGGTACACTGATAAAGCCTTTCCAGGTAATGCAAGAGTGTTGTTATCACCACATCCTCTGGCCATTTTTTTAAAAAGCACAGAAAAATATATCTGAATTACTTCCCAAAATTTAGACAGCTGCAACTGGGTGCTTTTCTCATGCATGCCAACTTTATCATGAAAATCACCTTCTACTCATCAACTCGAATTCTCTCTGTTTATGCCCATCTTCTAACTGTAGCTTTAAACTGTTTTCTCAATTCTTATTTACAATAGTTTGTACAATAGGAGAGAAATTACAAACCCCACCAAAATGTTTTGTATGTGACCAAGTTGGGCATATAGTTAAATTCTGTTGGCAGAATAGAAAAACTGTGGAAAGAAAGGAGAGGGTAATGTGTTCTATCGAAAACAGAGAGAAAATTTGAAATATATATATTTAGAAAAAGTGATGATAAGTGGGCCATAAATGTGTTAAAGGATACTGATAGTTAGAAAACTCTATTGAGAAAAGAGTTAGTAAAATATAATAAACTCACAGGTGGTATATTAGATTTAACTGGGTTTAGCACCACAGCAGGAGGAGCTCGACATACTCTACCACTAGATAAAGTCACATGGAAATGTCGACGGTGAAATAGTTGTACAGTTTGCAGATGGTAATCCACATCAAGGTTTGCTTGCAAACGAGACAGATGTGGTTTCGACCTTCTTAGGCAATCTTCAGGTTAACAAAGACAGTTTGAAACTGACCGTTACTGGGCACTATATCTTAGAGACGAGAATGTGAACAGGTACAAGATTGTAGGGGGTGTAGCAGTTAGATGTTAGGTGATTAATATAGGTATAAAGGTATTCCTTTATGTTGGTTCAATTTTGGTTTGAGTTCTTGTATAAGTAGGGCTTCTTTGATTTTTCGTTTGTTTGTCTTTGTTTCTCTACTTAATATGTTGGTGTTTTCTATGGTTATGATGTGTTTATTTGTTTTGCAGTGTTCAAAAACGTAGGAAGGTGTTTCACTGTGTTCATTGAATCTGGTTTGCATTTTTCGGCCTGTTTGTCCGACATAGAAGTAGTGGAGTTTAGTTTTACAGTGTAGTTTTTACATAGTATGTATTTTAGTTTTGTGCATGATCCTTTTTAAGGACTCTTTTAACTTTATATATATTCTGGATCAACTAAATTATAAAGCCTTAATGGCCAGTTTTGATGTAATCTCCCTTTTCACTGAAGTCCCAACTACTGAAGCCTGCAAGATAGCTTTAGAACTTTGTATACAAGACCCCAACCCATTAATACACATCCACAGCAACCAACTAGCAACTCTTCTGGAATTCACTACCACCAAAACAACTTCATGTTCAACAACCAAAGTCACATACAAATAAATGGCTTAAGTATGGGCACTCCTGTGTCACCTATTCTAGCCAACATTTTCATG